CGCTTCTGTTTGACCCTCAGATATGAAGAGCAGGCCCCAAAATGTACTATTTAGCAGATTAGCACCCAGAAAATAAGAATGTTTACAACTTCGCTGTAAGCGCACTATTAGACGCTTCGGTTTGACTCTCAGATTTGAAGAGCAGGCCCCAAAATTTACTATTTAGCAGATTAGCACCCATAAAATTTGAATTTTTACAACTGCGCTGTAAGCGCACTATTAGACGTTTCGATTTGACTCTCAGATATGAAGAGCAGGCCCCAAACTGTACTATTTAGCAGATTAGAACCAGGGAAATTAGAATTTTTACAACTGCACTGTAAGCGCACTATTAGACGCTTCGATTTGACTCTCAGATATGAAGAGCAGGCCCCAAAATGTACTATTTAGCAGATTAGCACACAGAAAATAAGAATTTTTACAACTGCGCTGTAAGTGAACTATTAGACGCTTTGATTTGACTCTCAGATATGAAGAGAAGGCCTCAAGATGTACTATTTAGCAGATTAGCAGCAAAACAATTCGAATGTTTACAACTGCGCTGTAAGCGCACTATTAGACGCTTTGATTTGACTCTCAGATATGAAGAGAAGGCCTCAAAATGTACTATTTAGCAGATTAGCAGCAAAACAATTAGAATGTTTACAACTGCACTGTAAGTGCACTATTTGACACTTCTATTTGACTGTCAGATATGAAGAGCAGGCCCCAAAATGTGATATTTAGCAGATTAGCAGCAAAACAATTAGAATGTTTACAACTGCGCTGTAAGCGCACTATTTGATGCTTCTATTTGACTCTCAGATATGAAGAGCACGCCCCAAAATGTACTATTTAGCAGATTAACACCCAGAAAATAAGAATGTTTACAACTGTGTTGTAAGCGCACTATTAGACGCTTCTATTTGACTCTCAGATATGAAGAGCAGGACCCAAAATGTACTATTTAGCAGATTAGCACCCAGAAAATTGGAATGTTTACAACTGCGCTGTAAGCGCACTATTCGACGCTTCTATTTGACTCTCAGATATGAAGAGCACGCCCCAAAATATACTATTTAGCAGATTAGCGGCAAAACAATTAGAATATTTTCAACTGCGCTGTAAGCGCACTATTTGACGCTTCTATTTGACTCTCAGAAATGAAGAGCAGGCCCCAAAATGTACTATTTAGCAGATTAGCACCCAGAAAATAAGAATTTTTACAACTGTGCTGTAAGCGCACTATTTGACGCTTCTATTTGACCCTCAGATATGAAGAGCAGGCCCCAAAATATACTATTTAGTAGCAGGGCCGGACTGGGAATTAAAAGCAGCCCTGGAAAAAAAATATTTACCAGCCCCATAATGCAGCAATGCCAGCATAGTGTGCAGATACAGAGTTAGAACAGATAACTTAAAATTAAAAAGTACTTCAATGTAAAAAGCGCACTCATAGGCTTCAAAATAAACAAAAGTGCAGATTTATTTTAAGCAGACGTGCCTTTGCATGTAATCAATGTTTCAGTCCAACTACCTTGACATATTAAGGAAAGCTTGTTAATGGGACTGAAATGGTGAATGTATGTAGGGCACAACTGTAAAAAATGTTTATTTTGAAGTCCTGTGGGTGTGCTCTTCACTTTAAATATGTTATTGTGCTTGAGTATGCACCTAGCAACAAGATTGGGCCAATATCTGCTCATTACATATGGTACATATTAATGAAATTTCTCTGTGTATTATGCATATATAAATGTACATTAATATGTGTAAATATAATATATATATATATACATATATATATATATATATATATATATATATATACACACACACACATTAATATACATGTCATATACCAGTGACGGATCCAGAGCCTGAGCCCGGGAGGGGCACTTGTAGATTATTTAAATAAATATTCCATGCACAATAACCACTACTCCTCTGTGTAGTGGTTATGGTGCCAGGAGTGTCGGCACCCCCTCCCAGAGTAAGTAGTCAAACCGTTTAAGAACAGTTTGACAACTTACCTGGAGTCTGCTGGGATATGGGGCTGTAGTAGGGTATAGGAGCAGTGGTGCAATGTGTGAGGGGTGCAATGTGTGTGAAAGGTTCAGTGTGTGGGTGTGGGTGGGCAGTGTGTGAATGTGTATGGTGTGTGTGTGGGGGGGCAGTGTGTGAATGTGTATAGTGTGTGTGTGTGGGGGCAGTGTGTGAATGTGTATGGTGTGTGTGTGTGTGTGTGTGGCAGTGTGTGAATGTGTATGGTGTGTGTGTGTGTGTGTGTGGGCAGTGTGTGAATGTGTCAATGTCTCCCCTCTCCTTCCCAGTCTCTCTCTTCCCCCTCTGCCTCTTTCTTCCCCTCCCCTTGTGTGTCTCTCTCATTTCTCCCTCTTTGTCTCTCTCTTCCCCCTCTGCCTCTTTCACCCCCTTTCCCTGTGTGTCTCCCTCCTCCCCATCTCTCTCCCTCCCCCATTCCCTGTGTCTCTCCCTTCTCCCTCCCTCCCCCCTTTCCCTGTCTCTCCCCTCCCTCCCTCCCTCCCCCATTTCCCTGTCTCTCCCCTCTCCCTCCCTCCCTCCCCCCTTTCCCTGTGTCTCTCTCCTCCTCCCCCTTTCCCTGTGTCTCTCTCTTCCTCCTCCCTCCTCCCTCCCACCTTTCCCTGTGCTCTCCTCCTCCCCCTTTTTCCTGTGTCTCTCCCTTCTCCTCCCTCCTTTCCCTGTGTCTCTCCCTCTCCTCCCTCCCCTTTCCTGTGTCTTTCCCCCCTCCCCTCCCCCCCCCTTTCCTGTGTCTCTCCCTCTCCCTCCTCCCCCCCTTTCTGTGTCTCTCCTTCTCCCTCCTCCCCTTCCTGTCTCTCCTTCTCCTCCATCCCCCTTTCCTGTCTCCCTCTCCTCCTCCCTTTCCTCCCTCCCTTTCCCTGTCTCTCCTCTCCCTTCCTACCCCCTTTCCTCCTCCCCCCTTTCCCTGTGTCTCTCCCCTCTCCCTCCCTACCCCCTTTCCCTCCCTACCCCCTTTCCCTGTGTCTCTCCCCTCTCCCTCCCTACCCCCTTTCCCTATCTCTCCCCCTGCCCCCAATTTACCTTAGAGAAGGCAGGGGGCCGGCCGCGTTCCAGATTGGAGCCGCCGGGCCGGGTGGCAGCTTCGCCGGTCCGACGGCACTCCAGTCACTGGTGTCACTGATGGCTGAAGGAGGAGGAGCCTGTCTACCATGCTCCCTCGCGGTTCCTGTGCTGGGAATTGTGGGAACCGCGAGGGGGCATGGTAGACAGGCTCCTCCTCCTTCAGCCATCAGTGACTGGAGTGCCGCCGGACCGGTGTTCTATCAAATTTCCCTACCCTGTTAGAAAACCCTACCCTCGTCACTTCCTGTGACAAAGCCGCACCGGAAGTGACATTGGGACGGGGGTGTGCGCCGCCGCGCAGGCGCACACAACCTAGGTAGGGATTTTTCACAGCGAGGAGAGAACCTAAAGGCATAGTGCGCACGCGCGGCACAGTACTCCCGTCGGAGGTACAGCGCGCGTGCGCACTTGGGGACATGGAGCGCTTCACACACTGCGCATGCACAGTATAGGGGTAGGGAAATTTGATGGCCATTAAGCCCTGTGAAATCTCCCTACCCCTATACTGCGCATGCGCGGACTCTGATCGTCTGAGTAAAGCCTTTTCTGGGAACAGCTCAGTCTCTCCCTGCTCCCAACACTCTCAGCCATTCGAAGGGAGGGGGTACTATATTAGGGGGGTTTCAGTGCATTATATTGGGGAGTGGGGGGGTTTTAGTACATTATTATATTGGGGTCTGCGCAGTATGGGGGGCATCTGCACAGTATATGGTGGGTCTGCACTTTATAGGGGGTTCTGCGCTGCATATGGGGGGGTCTGCGCAGTATATGGGGGGTCTGCACTGTATATGGGGTGTCTGCGCTGTATAGGGGATCTGCGCAGTATATGGGTGGTCTGCGCTGTATATGGGGGTCTGCGCTGTACAGGGGGGATCTGCGCTGTACAGGGAGGTCTGCGCAGTATGGGGGGGTCTGCGCAGTATATTGGGGGCTGTCTGCGCAGTATATGGGGGGCTGCGCAGTGTATTGGGGGGTCTGTGAAGGATATTGGGGTGGCCTGTGTGTTAAATGTGAGGGGCAGTGTGTTAGATGGAGGGGCTGTTTGTTCCATGTGGGGGGCAGTGTATTATATTTGGGGGCTGTGCGTTAGATGGTGAGCTGTACAGTACGTGTGGCCTGTGTGTTAGATATGTACAACCCTAGTTTCACAGAAAAATATTTATTTCCTAGATATCCCTCCATATGCCATGGCATGCTTTTTGCTATGAAACTGCAGCCATCTAGTCACTCGCCAGAGAAGGATGAGAAACTGCACCCCAGCGAGAGGGACAGCCCCACATCTGCAACCAAATCCGTCGGTCATCGAATTCAGTAATCTCCGTCTCTTTGTGCATTGTGTATGTATGGTACTCCCAATTCTTATATTTAATCCGGTGTGTCTCCCACAATCTTTGTGTCTGTCTGCTGTATGTATGTGGCACGCAAGTCTGCATGCACTGTGTCTGTTATGCCAGTTACTCTAACCAGTTTATTTCTTTTTGTGTGTGTCACAGCTCTGACAAGCATGTTCTCCTGTGGGACACGAAGTACATGAAGAGTAATGAAGAAGCCCATGTTTGATGCTCGTCTCCAGGGTGGAGTATTGAATTTATAACTAATGAAGTGGCATCTGACACATGACAAGCTGCTCCTGTTTGCACAGCAACTTCAACATTGTGGAGAAAAAAGGCAAACAGTGTAAACCGTGGCGCTAGACACAGCAGCTAGAACACACTAAGTGGGAATAATCACAAAAATCCCACAGTAAAATAAACACAAACAACAAAGATAGTGTGCAGCGCAAAACAAAGTGAT